CTCTCTCTCTCTCTCTCTCTCTCTCTCTCTCTCTCTCTCTACCACATCAGCCTGAGGGTGTACACCGAATCCCCCTCTCCCCCCCCCCTCTCTCTCTGATGATGCTGAAGTGCAGAACAGCAGTTTGTGGAGGGAACGTAGAAACACAGTGAGGAGCGTCTGCAGAACCACAGAACCAAAATTAATCAATCAAATCAATCCGATTGATCAGTTTAATTACTGACAGTGGCTGAAATCTCACAGATTTTGATTCTGTTCACTTGAACACAGTCCTGCATCAGGCAGCGTGATGACGCTGGGACCATGTAATGAACAGGACTTCAGAAATGATTCATTTGGCTTCTGTAATCAATAAGAAATGTCTATTAATTATGAATTAGTCTTTGTTAATGATTAATAATGCTTCATAATGATTGATCAGAATATCTGAACAATGATTTATTAAGACTGATTATGTAATCAGTGAAGAAGGTTTGTTAATGATTGATTAGGGCATGTGATTGGGTAATGATATGATCAGTAAATGATTGGTAATGACAGATTCCTCATTGCTACTAATTGATAAGACTATGCAGTGGCTGATTAGGCTGCTTTGCTGTAAGACAATGATTGATTAGGTTATTTAATGATTATTACAGTGTAGCAATGATTGATTAGGATATGTAATGATTGATTAGGTTATTTAATGATTATTACAGTGTAGCAATGATTGATTAAGATGTGGTAATGATTGATTAGGTTAAGTAATGATTGATTAGGTTAAGTAATGATTGATTAGATTATGTAATGATTGATTGTGGTGTGGTAATGATTGATTAGGTTATGTAATGATTGATTGCAGTGTAGTAATGATTGATTAGGTTATGTACTGATTGATTGTGGTGTGGTAATGATGGATTAGATTACATAATGATCGATTGCAGTGTGGTAATGATGGATTAGATTACATAATGATCGATTGCAGTGTGGTAATGATTGATTAGGTTATGTAATGATCGATTGCAGTGTGGTAATGATTGATTAGGTTATGTACTGATTGATTGTGGTGTGGTAATGATTGATTAGGTTATGTAATGATCGATTGCAGTGTGGTAATGATTGATTAGGTTATGTAATGATTGATTGTGGTGTGGTAATGATGGATTAGATTATGTAATGATTGTGTTGTGGTAATGATTGATTAGGTTATGTACTGATTGATTGTGGTGTGGTAATGATTGATTAGATTATATAATGATCGATTGCAGTGTGGTAATGATTGATTAGGTAATGTAATGATTGATTGCTGTGTAGTAATGATTGATTAGGTTATGTAATGATTGTGTTGTGGTAATGATTGATTAGGTTATGTACCGATTGATTGTGGTGTGGTAATGATTGATTAGATTATATAATGATCGATTGCAGTGTGGTAATGATTGATTAGGTAATGTAATGATTGATTGCTGTGTAGTAATGATTGATTAGGTTATGTAATGATTGTGGTGTGACACTGATTGATTCGGTTATGTAATGATTGATTAGGTTATGTAATGATTGATTAGGTTATGTAATGATTGATTGCAGTGTGGTAATGATTGATTGCAGTGTATTGATGATTGATTAGGTTATGTAATATTGATTGTGGTGTGGTAATGATTGATTAGTGTGTGATGGTGTTCTATATTAAATTAGACAATAATGATGAGATAAAGCCTCTCAGTGAGACAGAGCTGAGGCCGGTCAGTTACTGATTACAGCTTTTGTCTGATTACACAATCAGAGTAAACAACTATACAACACAAAGCCTGGAGTGTTATCAGTATGACTGTCACACTATCATGCTTTAATGTGGTAATCTGTTCATTATGTTATAGTAATATTAACATATAAACACAACTGTCATTTATTTTGCTATATTATTATTATTATTATTATTATACATAGTTTATTTTAAAATATTTATTGTGTCCAAGTCCATTATTCCCCTATTAAGTATTTTAATAAATATATGACATCACAATCTACAAAACCTCATTTGTGTGAATACATTTTTAATGCATCAAAATAAAATTAATTTGAAGTATCCATACCTTTCATGTAAACATGGCAGGTGGTGTGACCATCCAAACATATGCAGAAGACTGTTAAAAAGGTAATTTGCATAAATAAAATAATTTGGCATGATTTGATTTGTAATTTATAAATTCAATATATGTTGAAATACAGCTCAAATTTAGTATTTAAGAAATTGAGAAAATTCTGATTTCCTCAAATGTCACACAGCACAAAGGACTTTTATTCTATTAAGAAAAAATAAGAATGATATTACAACATAAAGAAGACCCAAAGTGACCTTCATGGTGGAGTGCCAAGGTCAGCTGTGTGAGTTATGGACAGGCTGCATCAGGTTGCACCAAGTCAGTGGTGCGACCACAGGAAAAAAAACAAACAAAACTTAATTATTTAAAAAAAAAAACATCGTTTATATAGGGGTCCAAGGACAAAGACTAGTTTAAACATGTTTTCAGTAGCCATAAAAACTTTAAAATACAATATTTTTAATTAACATGTGGTTGCGCTGTGTGACATTTTCTTGGTGGTAAAATTAATCATCTTGTTTAAAAATGAATGATGATATTTTATCAGTGTCATGAACTTTATTTCATTACAAAGAGAGCAAAACGAATCCGTTTAATTAGACGTAGTGCAGCAGTGTGTAAAATGTTGAATAATAATCACTATATTTATAATTTTTGAAAATAATTATTAAATATGACACTAATAGTGTAGTGTCTATGTCAAAATATTGTGATATATATTGTGTATTCTGAATATCTCAGTCTCTAAATATTGTGATATATATTGTGTATTCTGAATATCTCAGTCTCTAAATATTGTGATATATATTGTGCATTCTGAATATCTCGGTCTCTAAACATTGTGATATATATTGTGTATTCTGAATACTTGGTCTCTAAACATTGTGATATATATTGTGCATTCTGAATATCTCAGTCTCTAAATATTGTGATATATATTGTGCATTCTGAATATCTCGGTCTCTAAATATTGTGATATATATTGTGCATTCTGAATATCTCGGTCTCTAAATATTGTGATAAACGTAATAGTCCATCACTAATTCATACTACTACAAAAGCTATAAAACAAATATCAACACACTGAACAGATTTCTAAAGATTTCATTTTTATTTTATTCATTTAATTCACTTTTTAAACATTTTTACTGACTGATTTTCTAATATTATCATTCTGAAATGGCTTATTTGTCATCGACCCATTACAGATATTTTTTTTTTTTGTCTTTCTCTCTCTTTTCTGCTGCTGCTCCAAAAGAGGGAGCACTATCATCTTCGGAAGGCCACGCAGCTTTCTCACGCAGATAAGCAGCTGGCAGAACAGGAGGAGAAAGACAGGAAGTAAGAGAAAAGGTGTGAGTGAAGCTCTCTCTCTCTCTCTCTCTCTCACCCCCTGCTCATAAGCAAGCGCGCCAGGCGGCTGATGAGGAGGAAGAGGAAGAGGAGAGGCATCAAACGCTCCGAACGCTCCTCCCTCAGCCCAAAGGTCAGAGCCAGCTGAAAGGTCAGCCAGTCGCGAGTTTCTGCCCGGCTTTCATCCCTCCTCCACAGACTTCTCTCCTCAGAGAGAGAGGGGGAGAGGGAGAGAGAGGGAGAGCTGCGGGGGTCTCTCCGCTGTGACATTTCACACAGGGATCAGCCACAGCAACTGGCATTTAACTCCCTTTTAAAGCACGCGGATCAGCCTCCACTCGTTAGCAACCGCCAGCGCTACACTGCTGAAATCTTTATCAAGAGAGCTCTCTCTTTTTTTACACTTCCTTTTCTCGCACGCCCACGGTTCAGACAGCAAGTGTGAGCGCACTCGTTTTGAGGGGATCTGTGAATGTTAGATTTGGTCATGTCTTTCTTTTTTTTCCTCCTCTTTTTCTGAAGTTTAGCCACTGTGTAGTCTCGCTTAACTGCTAGATGTAACTGGTGTTCTGGACAGCAACACTGAATTGTTAGACTTGGAGTTAATTGTTTCTATGGGCTGTAGTGAATCATTAGGTTGCGTTTTAGTGAATCGTTTTGGTTTGGTTTCATGAATCCTTTGGGAGAATTATGGAGAATCTTCTGGTTGGGGTGTAGTGAATCATTGGGTTGCGTTGTAGTGAATCATTTGGTTTGGTTTAAAGAATCCTTTAGGAAAAAATGTAGAGAATCTTCTGGTTGGGGTGTAGTGAATCACTGGGTTGCATTTTAGTGAATCATTTTGGTTTGGTTTAATGAATCCTTTGGAAGACGTCAAGAGAATCCTCTGATTGGGGTGTAGTGAATCACTGTGCTGGGTTTACTGAATCATTGGATTTGAGTTTAGTGAATAGTTAAGTTTAGGCTTTGTGAATCATTTTGGGGACTCGTGAATCATTTTGGAGGACATTTTTAGTGAATCGTTGGGGTAATTCAATAGTTTGGATGCAGTTTGATGATTCATTTGGTTGGGTTTAGCCAAAATATTCAATGAAGTTTAGTGAATCATATTGTTGGGTTTAATCAAAAGTTTGGACGAGCTTTATTTACTTATTTGGTTGACGTTTATTAAAGTATTAGTTATTGTTTAATGAATAGGTCTGTTGGGATTTAGTAACAAATTTGATTGGGTTCACTGAATCATTGGATGGTGTTCATTAAATCACTGGGTTGGGGTTTAGTGAATAGTTTTGTTTGATTAATTAATTCGGTTGGGTTTTATTGAATCAGTGGTGTTCAGTGATTTGTTTGGGTGAATCACGTTTTAGTTTTCATTGAATCACTTGAAAGGTTTAATGAATAGTTTGGTTTAAGTTTACTGAATCACTTCATTAAGAAAAGTAAGCGATGATGATAGTGAAGAATCCGTAACAGAAAGGTACCATAACACACACATACACATAATATACAAACTCACACAGTGCTACAGTCTAGAACACAAACTATATTATTCAGAGGTAATTACACTTATATTTTAGATTTTGTCCATTCAGTGCATTTACATGCACTTCGGTGATCAGATAATGGGAATTTCTGCTTTGAAAATGGCCAGTAAACTCAAAGAATAAGACTTGACGTAAACTTAACGTAAAAATCTTATTTTTTTAAAACATTGTTGTGCTGGTCTGAGTGGATCAGACACAGCAGTGCTGCTGGAGTTTTTAAACACCTCAGTGTCACTGCTGGACTGAGAATAGTCCTGTGGGCAGTGTCCTGTGACCACTGATGAAGGACTAGAAGATGACCAACACAAACTGTGCAGCAGCAGATGAGCTATCGCCTCTGACTTTACATCTACAAGGTGGACTGACAAGGTAGGAGTGTCTAATAGAGTGGACAGTGAGTGGACACAGTGTTTAAAAACTCCAGCAGCACTGCTGTGTCTGATCCACTCAGACCAGCACAACACACACTAACACACCACAACCACGTCAGTGTTACTGCAGTGCTGAGAATGATCCACCACCCAAATAGTACCTGCTCTGTGAGGGTCCATGGGGGTCCTGACCACTGAAGAACAGGGTAAAAGGGGGCTAACAAAGTATGCAGAGAAACAGATGGACTACAGTCTGTAACTGTAGAACTACAAAGTGCACCTATATAGTAAGTGGAGCTGATAAAATGGACAATGAGCGAAGAAACAAGGAGGTGGTCAGAATGTTATGCCTGATCGGTGTACATCCAGCTCAGTCTGTCCTCTCCTACCAAAAATGAACTTGCATCATTAGAAGATGTAAACATACATGCACATACACTCAAACTTTCATCTCAAGACCCTTAAAAGGCCCGACACCACAGAAAAAAGGAAACGGGTTCGGCTTTGAAGTTGTGAGCAGCACTCCTGGTATTTCAGGATCAATTTATTATCTGTGATTTGAGTTCTTTCTTCCTGCTCGTATTACCAGTTCTTTACCGTCCATTACGAGACCCGGACCGGCCGGCTTTGAAGTCAAAGTCAAAATGATAAGTCTGTACAGACGAGGAGACAGATGGCGAGGGAGAGGGAAAAGAGAGAGAGAGAGAGAGGGAGAGAGAGAGAGAGAGAGAGAGAGAGAGAGAGAGAGATTCCTTGATATTTGAGCTTGTATATATCAGTTTGACAGAGATTCTTTCAGTGAAGAGTTCTGCCACAGAGCTGCTGCCGCTGTTTTCCAGTCCTATCAACTAATCGAAACCTGGTTAGAGGTGAAGGTTAGGATTAGGTTTGGGTTCAGGTTAAGGTTAGGGTTAGGATTAGGGCCAGAGTGAGGGTTAGGATTAGGTTTTGGGTTGATCCACTCAAAATAAAGTGCTACCTTTAATCTAAAGAGTACGGCCTTCTGTACAGCTCCTGAAGTCCTAACCAATGGGAGAGCTCACTTGGATGAATCTACAGAGGAAACTATCTATTTTTTATGCTAGCAAAAAAATCATTTCTTGTGCATTTACATGCACTTAATAATCCAATAACGGCATGAAAATCAGATTTTTATCCGCTCAATGTGTTTACATGCACTTGAGTAATCAGATAATGGGAAACTCCGAGTCTACATGAGTCAGACAGTAATCGGATTTGTGCCTTGCAACCAGCCAAGAAGACGTGATATAAACAGAACGTAAATCTCAAACTTCATGCCGTGGCTTTTTTAAAAACATCGAGCCGCTTTACCTGAAAAGATGAACATACATCATCTAGAAGATGAGAAATATTTAAGTCTTTTATTTCACCGGCCATGTATTTGATGCAGCGTCTCTCCAAAAGTGCACCTTGCGGCAACACTGCTCGCTTATTTCCGGTACCGCCGTCTGTTTTCACAGACTGAGAAATCCGAAAGAAATCAGAGTAAGAGTTTACAATACTGAGAAATCTGATAACTGAGCTAAAATCCAGCTCTCTTTATCAGATTTGTAGATCTTCCTCCGATCTAATAAATCAGAGTGTGCTGTTTACATGACCATTTGAATAATCAGATAACTGCAGAAATCTGATCAGATTATGGAGTGCATGTAAATGCTCTCATAGTCACTGTGTGAAATGCAGGCTCATTTTGTTAGCCACTGTGGAAATTAAGTAGCGGACGCATATGAAGAGGCAATAAGTTGTCAAGTCTACCACACAAAGTAAGTCACCTCACCCACCCCCACCTCCCCCTCTCTCTAGGAGGAGTACTTTATGAAAAGGAAGTGGTGACTACTGACTACAGACCACTGCTGAAACAGGCCATCATTACTTCCACAATATGGAGCTCAGCTCACTTCCTGTTAAACTCTGTGAGTAAAATCTTTTCTTAATGTCTCCAGTGTGAAAGAGCGTCAGTTTGTGTTTATTAACCCTTTAAAATCTCAGTCTTATTACACACTAAGGCTTATTATTCAGGAACTACAGGGACTTCAATGGAATTCTATGAAAATGTTTCTATACAGCACCAAAAATGGTTCTTCTCTATTGTTACAATGTCAAACTTGTCAAAGTAAAAGAACCTTTTTTGGAGAAGCATGTTTTCTGTTTTCTGAGTGTGCGGTGTGTCCACAAGCAACAAATCAATTCAGACTAAAATTGTAAATATTCTGTAGTTTAAATTTTGGTATATATGGTTTGATTGTATTTTTTATGGAAAGGGCCAAAGATTCACATAATTTATATTCTCCATTTATCAAAGAAAATGAGTTTGGGGGCTCTCGAGTGGCGCAACTGTCTAAGCGTTGGCCCCATCATCAGGAGATCGCGAGTTCGATGCCTGGTGATGACTACATAAGAAATTATAGCTTTAAGTACATGTAATTTGACTGGTGGTGTTCAAATCTCAATTGTGTAATGCCGTGTTTACATGTTGGCTGTAGATGGTTGATGGCAAACTGGTTTAAATGGAGCTGTGACAGAAAATTCTGTGATCGTCAGCAGACAGTCGTGTGCCGCAGCAGTCAGCAGAATTTCTGCTGTCAAGAGTTCAAATTTCCAACTTTTGCTGTTGTGGTGCAACAAACCAGATGTCGATTTTTTAGGGGCCATTTTTAGGGCCCATGAATGCTGAACATCTCATTGTCTCATACAACAAAACATTAAAAGAGTGCAGAGCATCTTCCTCCCTTTATCCCCCTTAAACAATCAACTCTGCTAAAGATCTTCTCTGACATTCATCTGTTTTCACCAGCGACGCTGTCACTGTGCCAATGTTTTCATGGCTGCAAGCTGCCGTTGGTGGTGCATCACTAAGAGGCATGGAAGAACATTTTTTAAAGCCAACATGTAAACGTAGCACAAGAGACATGGTTGTGGTGGGCAGTGCAGTTGCACAACTCTGAAACTGCCTATGATCTGCAGACAGGAAATGAGACTGAGACTGAAATCTTCTGTTTCTCTCCACACTTTAGCACTGATTATACTTGTCTACTGTGGACAAAATCAAGGTGAATCATTTCCATCTACATGTACTGAAATAAAATCATTTACTTAATTTCCAGTTAAAACAGCCATTAAGTACAAGTTATTCCTTTTTTCAGGAGAGATTTCTGAGGAGCTAAAGCTAAGAACAGATTTTCGAGGAAGTTACCTTTTTATTGGGTTTTGTTAAGACAATAGCTGCCTTTCAAAGCCGAGGCTGCAGCCAAGGTAGGCCGCATTTCTCGGCCTCTACATCATAACAGGCCATTCCAAAGTGAAGGACCCTTGGTCTACAGCCTAGAAATGCAGCCTATATTCTGAGTGCTTTCGAGGAGCTAACTGATGTTATAGATCTGTGAGTTGTTTATGTCCTTGAATTCATCGTTATGACCGTATAAAATGTAAATAATTGATTAACTCAAGCATTCATCCATGTATCATATTTGAATCAGAAGTAATTGTATGTAAGTCGTTTATCGTACTACATAAGCTTGGTGGTGTATTAGCTACCATAGCAACAAACATAATGCAACGGGCTCCATTTTTTCTCACCAGCTCCCTCACGAGTTTTGTGCCACAACTGCAAGAGGCGGGACCTTTCTGGTGATGTCACCACGCAGCCTCGTTAGGACCGTTCCATTTGTGTGACCAATAGGCTACTAAGGAAGAGTGTTCATAGGACAGTCCTACTGAGGACTGCAGCCTAGGCTTTGGAATGCAGCTAGTGTTGGAATGCTGTCCAACTCAATTTTATGAAAGTTGCAGGGCCATCTAACTTCAGTTTCATTGTGCCCGTTGACTGCTTTGCCCTCCACAGGCAACGGAGCTCGGATGCATGGGATTCACCAGCAGTACGAGCTCCTGGGAGGAACAGTCTACCTCTCATTGGGAGAAGAGCGTTCAACCCAAATCAAGTGGAAAAAAGACAGGGAAGTCATTGCAATGGTAGACAGGGAATGGTCAGCCACTAGGTTTCAAGATAAATTCATTGTGAATGCCTCTGATGGATCCTTAATTATCAAAAATGTGACAGAGAGGGACAGCGGCCGGTATCAAGCTCTATTAGGGAAATGGGAAGAGAACATTGTGGAATTCCATTTGATAGTACTGGGTAAGCTTATTAAGCTAATAAGCTAACAAAAACATTGTGCTCAAATCTGCAGTTTACACACTCAAACTTGCCACTTTATCAGAAACACTTGCACTTCAACAACTCTTTACCACTTGTTGTTTCAGAGGCGGTCTCAGAGCCCATTATTGGCTCAGTTCTCCATCGGTCAGATTCCTTGACTTGCAACTTCTCAGTACAGTGTTCTGCTGGTGGTGACTCAGTGACGTATGACTGCAGTCTCCAGCACTGCGCTCCATCAAACATCTCACTGACCAGAGTCGAAATTACTATAGCCATTGACAACGGACTGGTGGAATGTACAGCCAGCAACCGTGTGAGCACAAAGAAAAGCCTGCGACAAATAAATGATACATGTAAGTGAGCATGTATTCAGTAACACTGTCACTTCACATCAGTAGAAAACTTATTTTACTCAACTATTATAAATATCAATAACCACACTATACATTTCACTTACTGTTCAATTCTTCAGTTGATTTGTCGTCTCACTGTTCCAAACAATAAGCCAAATTTCTTATTTTATTCTTATTTACCAAACGAGCTTCTTTCCTTGGGCTTTTCATAGGTTCAGAAACATCAGCTGCCTGGCATTCCCCTTGGATGACTGTGGGTTGGGCTTTGGGGGGCACACTGCCGGTCTGCTTTCTTATCATGAGTTTTTACTGCTACAGAACGAAACTACAGGTGAATACATGCTGATCAGTTCTTAGTAAAACAGCTTATTGTCTGGTTAAAGAGGGATTACATCACCAGTTGTTTCCGTTCCACATAAAGATTCAACAACAAGACTGAATAATCTTAACACCCTACAGTACCTAGGGCAGTCGTGGGCTGGAGGATAGGAAACCAGCCTGGCAACCGGAAGGTCGCCGGTTCAATCCCTTGAACCGACTGAGGATAGGGCCCCAAGGATAGGGCTGCCCACCGCTCCAGGCAAGTGTGCTCACTGCTCCCTAGTGTGTATCTTCACTAGTGTGTATGTGGTGTTTCACTGCACGGGTGGGTTAGATTGCGGAGGTGAAATTTCCCTGTTGTGGGACTAATAAGGGTCACTTAATCTTAAGATAAACATTCTGCCTAATTCAGCTGTAACCAAACAGTAATAACCAGCCACTAATAACAGTCACAACAAGGTAACAATTTTTTTTTTTTTACAAGTAATAAGCTCTCTGACAATAATTGTAATAGATAACATTTGGTCTTAACAGCAAGCAAATCAAGCCAGCAACAATGACAAAACCTGAACGCTCCCACTGTAATCAATAAAGCTGGCTACACCAGCCATGAGTGGTCTAACATTCATCTAATGGTTGTCCAACTAGATGCATCACATTGCTTTGAGTTGATGTTCCACCATGAATTAAAAAAACAACCAAAATAAGAGTTCATATTGTAGCATCAGCATAGCGTAAGACACACAGTATTCCACCACGAGAAGTGCTCTTATTGAACATGGGGGAGGTCACCACCAGCTTCACAGGCTTTACCCTTATGGTAGACCAACCCCTAACACAAAACACATTAACTAAACCCACAGCCCAATGCAAAATAACAGAAATTACACATACACACGCTTTAAACTAATGAACAACTACATTAACAACAATAAGTGCCTTTTTAGGAGAGTGTGCACCTACCATGTGCTTCCGTGCATGGCTGCTTGCATGGCCATGCCTCCCGAGTCTCTCAGGACCAGCGCCAGTCAGTATCCCAGCAACTCACCACCTCGAGTAGATGTTATCCCACTTTTGACACCAGTGTAGCATTAGCGTAGCGTAAGACACAGGGGAGGCCAGGATTCCACCACAAAAGTGCTCTTTATGCAGAAGGGCACATACAAAGCATTGAACTTGCACTCTAATGGTGACTAACCCCAACACAAAATCCACTAACTAAACCCGCATCCCAACACAGAATAACACAAATAATACCTTTACACACGCATTCAGGGTTTTCGCCCTCATGTCTGTGACCGCAGCAAATAAGCCCCAATATCTCATAGTACAGCACTCCCTCTCATGTATTATTGCGTAACTGTAAAATGAGCAATGACACTACAGCGATAAACAAAATAACACTTCCGCACTGCTTCTTTGATGAATTACATTTACTGAAGAACACTTGTTGTTACTTTGCACTGTGGGATTGACTGACTCATTAGTTAAGGATAATTAATGATGCCTTAAAATATGACTTTAGTTGTCGGCATATTTAAGATATCTAGTAATTAGAAGAACAGCCGGGCTTGCTTAAAATGGCACCGATGTAGACGATTCAAATGCCTTCAAAATGCCTGTTTATCTAATTGTTTTTTTTTTTTATCGTCTTTTCTCTGTGATCAGACCACCAATCAAGACACAGTTGTCCTCTATAGCGTATGGGACGAGCCAGAGACTCCGACAGAGGACAGCGCTGCAAAAACAACTCTATCGGCAGCAGGACATTCCTTTAAATTGTGTAAGATTCCAAAAATAAACTAGAAAGGTGCATTTTCTGAAGACAGTTCAGACTGATTGCACAGCTTAAGCAATCCGAGAATGGTTGCTCAGGTGTTACTACATGGTTGCTAAGTGGTTGCTGCGGTATTCCAGGTGGTTGCTATTGTGTTGCTCGGAGGTTGTTGTGAATGCTAACACTTTGCTAGGTGGTTGCTAGGGTATTCCAGATGGTTGCTGGGGTGTTGCTGGGCAGTTGCTATGGTATCCCAGTTGGTTGCTATAGAGTTGCAATGAAGTTTCTATCATGTCTCAAGTGGTTGCTAAAGTGTTGCTATATGGTTGCTATGGTATCCCTAGTGGTTGCTAATGTGTTAATACGTGGTTGCTATGGTATTCCTAATGGATGCTGGGGTGTTGCTCGGCGGTTGCTATGGTATCCCAGTCTGTTGCTATAGTGTTGCAATGAAGTTTCTATCGTATCTCAAGCGGCTGCTAAGGTGTTGCTATATGGTGGCTATGGTATCCCTAGTGGTTGCTAATGTGTTAATACGTGGTTGCTATTGTATTCCTCATGGTTGCTAGGGTGTTGCTTGGCAATTGCTGTGGTATCCCAGGCGTTTGCTACGTGATTGTTATGGTATCCCAGGTGGTTGCTTGGTATGGAGTTGCTAGAGCATTGTTATGGTATCTGAGGTGATTGCTAGGAGGTTGCTATGTGGTTTCTAGGTAGTTGGTCAAATTTCATGCAGTTTATGATTTTCTAATTGAATTGAAAACACACTTCTGCACATTTAATGCACAGGTACTCTATATAGTGCTGAGTTTAACATTTTTTGCAAATGTGCAGATGATTTACATTGTGTCATATTTAAGCATGTTCTCTATAGAGGATGTGTTAACTTATTTTGGCCAGAGGCACCCAAACTTTTGCATACGACTGTTCAAAAAATACATCATGACCACAAAGACTTTCAAACTTTCAACTGTTACCATTACTCTGTTTGGAATTCTGACACAGGAAATAAAAGCCTTGACCAAGTACTAGTTGAGATAAAAACCCTTACTAAGCTAGTGAATGTTAAGCAACATTTTATGCTATTTTGCAAATGATAGTCACACAGCAATCAGAAAGATATCATTTTTGTTTTTTAAAAAAGTATATGAGTATACACATGGCACGTTTTAGTGACATGCTAGGCTAGTCTTGCTAACTGCGGACATGTCGTGTAGTTCTTTTGCCATTTATGGCCAAAAAAAACTTTTATTTCTGCCATTTTATCTTTTCTTCTCCATTAATAACTTGATAATCAATCACATGAATACACTTCACACTTTAGTGACCTGTTATTGTTGCTCTTGAATCAGATCAATAATAAGTGCTTCCACAGTGTCTATGTTTACATGCAAAGTTTTTTGCCAATCTGTTTATTAAAGAAGGCCGTGAGGAAGTCGTCGTGTTCTGAGACACATAAGCTGGACGTCCGTCCCACCGCCGTCTTTTAAAGATCAGAGCATAAACTTCGTCTCCTCTGCAGACCAGTTTCTGCTCCGCCATGTTGAACGGTATAAACTTTCACTATGACATGATGCACATGATCAGAACGGACTTCAACTTTCCGATAGGGAATGTAATCAGATACAGGCGTTTACACGGATATTATTCTTCTATTTAACGGATTATTTACAGGATTACCCACCTCAATCAGTCGGATAGAAATTGTATTCTGAATGGCCTCAATCGGACTAGACTATTCCAATTGAGGTGTTTACATGGACGTATCTATTCCGATTGAGCTATTAGTCGGATTATTAACGGATGAATTGTGTTGAATTGTGTGCACATGCTCAGAAACTATCACTGTGCATCCAACAATAAAGGCAGCACAAAGCTTCTTTTACACAGTGATAGGACACATGGCAGTTCACAGAGAGCTCCAATTCAACATTCTGATTCATTTACTGACCCGTGTGGACACACACGCTCACCGATTACTCTGGGGTCAGATTTCAATCAGTCAAATGAAACAAATACAAACACAGTGACTGGATTTATGAGCATTAGGTTTGATAGGGTTAACTGGGTAGATGTGTATGATCTTGATTCAGTCTATGACATTAAATTTTCCACAAATACAAGTAATGCTACCTTCTATGCAACCAAGACACAAACAAGTGCCAATAATATATTCCGTCACTGATGTATCTTGAATACTAACATGTATCATTTATGTAAAATATGATGTGCTTATATGTTGATTTAGGACATCAATGCGTTGTTTATATCTGTTTTTTTTAAGACATGATCTGTGTTCTATGTGACTATGTGAAGGAAGAATAAATTTACTGTCATTTCCAGCAGTTCTCATTTCTTCCTTCACCACAAAGCTGTCATTTCTATATTGTCAGTATGGCAACATACCTTGAACTTGAGGTTGATGAATGCAGTACCTATGCATACTGTTGAAAAATGGTTCTTCTAGGGGTGTTTAGTAAAGACAATAGTTCAAAATAGAACTATGAACACTCATGCTTAAATGGTTCTCTGCACGGTGAAGTGGTTCTTCAAGTTGATAAAGAATGTGTGGTATATGGCTCTATATAGAACTTTTTTGATTATGGTTCTATGTTGCACCAAAAACGGTTATTCTATTGTATACAAGCTTGATATTGTAACAATAGTAGAACACTTTTTAGGTGCTATATAAAACCCTTTTCAAAAAGGTTCTATAGGGAAACATTTACAGCATATTCTTCACCAGTCTGGAGAACACTTTCACGATGCAAAGAACCCTTTAATGCAAAGTGTTCTTTAAGTGTTCTATTTAGAATTAAAAACAGAGGCTCCTTGTTCAGTGTTCAGGGCTTCTTTGCTGTATGTTTTCCTTTGCAAAACATTACATTAAAGCAATCATTTAAAAAAAAAAGGCGCCATCATAGAAGAAACACTTTTGGTTCTCTAAAGAACCAAGTTTGAAGTAAGAAGAACCTTAAAAAGGCTTAAAGAACAATCACGTAATATTTACCCATGTGAAGGTTCTCCTACATTTTGTGGAGGTTCTTTAAACTTTAAAAAGCTTCTTCACGCTCGGACATCTCATTTACAAAAATGGTTCTCTAAAGAACCATGCACTGAAATGTTATTCAGGGAACCACAAGACGTTCATTCTTTTGCATCGTGCAAAGAATCTTCTGTCAACATTACTTTTAAGAGGATAGCTTCATTAATATTTCATTAATAATCTGACCAATAGACTCACTGGCCAGCCACCAAGTTTACCTAACTGATATCTGATCAAAAACTTCCAAATAACATCCTTGAGAACAGGTGGCCTGATGGGCGAGAGAGCTATATAAGAGCTAGAAAGAGAGAGAGAGGTTTAGGGTTTATGTGAGCAAGTCCAGAGTGCACTCCAAGGACGCTCCTGCTGTTTAGGAGAATGACTAATATTTGCATTGCCATGGCAATCTCCACTCAATCTTTCTCTTTTCCTGAAATGGACAGATAAATGCCTCCGAGGTCATTTCAGACATGTAAGAACGCAATCTGTAATCAGCCTCAATGGGAAGAGATGCATTTCTACTCTTGCAGAGTGATGACTGTAAAAGTAACACACTTTCCACCTACCTACTCACAGCCCTCGGCCACTTTATCAGAAACCCCTGTTTTGCTGGTGTTCAGTCAGAGACAGTAGCTCGTCTGTTGTGTTATTCATCCTGTAGACCTTTATCAGTGGTCAATTTCTGACCACAGAGCTGTTATTGACTGGATATTTTTGGTGGTTGTCTATTCTCAACATAGCAGAGACAGTGATACACTTGTAGGAGCACCACACACACTTCCATGTCAGTGTCACTGCTGTACTGAGAATAAACACCCACCCACATAATAGCTGGACAACAGCAGTGTTATCAGAAAGTGACCAATGATGAACGAAGTAGGGGAGAGCAGATAAACTGTACAGCAGCAGATGACAGTGGAAGTACAAGGTAGGTGTTTCTAATAAAGTGGCCAGTTAGTGGAAGTACAATGTAGGTGTTTCTGATAAATTGGCCAGTTAGTGGAAGCACAAGGTGGGTGTTTCTAATAAAGTGGCCAGTGAGTGGAAGCACAAGGTAGGGGTTTCTAATAAAATGGCCAGTTAGTGGAACTACACAGTAGGTGTTCCTATAAAAGTGGCCAGTGATTGAAGGTACAAGGTAAGTATTTCTAATAAAGTGGCGAGTTAGCAAAAGCACACGGTAGGTGCTTCTTAAAAATTGGCCTGTTAGTAGAAGCACAAGTTAGGTGTTTCTAATAAAGTGGCCAGTTAGAAGAAGTACAAGGTAGGTGTTTCTAATAAAGTGGCCAGTTAGAAGAAGTACAAGGTAGGTGTTTCTAATAAAGTGGCCAGTTAGCAAAAGCACAAGGTAGGTGTTTCTAATAAAGTGGCCAGTTAGTGGAAGCACAAGGTGTGTGTTTCTGATAAAGTGGCCAGTTAGTGGAAGTACAAGGTAGGTGTTTCTAATAAAGTGGCCAGTTAGTGGAAACACAAGGTAGGTGTTTCTGATAAAGTGGCCAGTTAGTGGAAACACAAGGTAGGTGTTTCTGATAAAGTGGCCAGTTAGTGGAAGCACAAGATAGGTGTTTCTAATGTTTAGAATCTGTGCTTTACATATAATTTGTCCCAGAGAGCTAGGAGTCAGATACAATTCTTGTAAAATTCTATCATGATTTTGATATCGCTGGTTAAGACATTGATAAATATGAAAACAGAAATCAGAATAAAACAGATGAATATCAGTATTACAGGAGGAACTTATATACCTACTAGGACGGCCTCTGTGCCTTTTCCAACACAGAGAAACAACCAAAGTGAAGAGGGAAAAGCTGAATAAAGCACCAAAGCAGAACAATGAACAGCAGAACACTGAGGACTCTGAGGAGCAGTTACAGTAGATCCTCTGAGGTTCTGAGGGGTTCTGTGTCTCCGTGCTGTCGGGTACGTGACGTTGTTCAGGCTATGAAAGATTCCTAATGAGAGCCGAGACTTTCAGGGAAATTCTCATTAGCATATCACACCCACCTCCCAGAATCCTCTGCGGCGATGCGCGAATCACACGTGTTTGGTAATTTCTCTACTTAAAATCTCACCTACAGGAGTTTAGGAGACTGTGAGGAAAAACACACACGAACACCAGCTAAACTTGTGAAATCAGCTTCAGGCCAAGAAACGATTAGTAACTTTACAACACGATGGTTTAGATCTTACTTCATAACTAACTACAGCAGGTTTTAGAGCTTTTCACCATTAAAGGTGGGCTATTGTGCTTTTCTGGCTTTTCCCTTTCCTGTATTCGCCCCCCTTGAATCATAAGGTTCTGTCTGCCGTTATTGTGAGGTGTTTTTTTTAGGTTGTGTGCATTTTTGGACTCTTTATCTAGAAAACAGAAAGATTCTATCACCAAAGTCAAACTAACTCAGTTCTATAAGGTTCTATCTGTGAGCCAATCAGCACTTCCAGTACACACAAGACGACCAATCAGGTTCTTCTTGCAG